TTCACTTTTCGATAATTCCCACCCCGCTCTCACTTGTACTCTTATTTGCTTTTCTTTCCTTTTTTTTTTTTCTTTTTCGTCTTCCTTTTTTTTTATCGAAATGACAGCCGTATGTAACACACATGAGCCATTCCGTGCCGGGCTGGGCGTGGCATTGCGGTCATCTCAGCCTGTCTCTCCTCGCCCTGTGCGAGTGTGTGTGTGTGTGTGTGTGTCACAGATTTGCTGGTTTGCTTTTGGCCGCAGGCTTATGAAACTTAAGCGCATTGCAATGCATTTCATTGCGGCCTCTTCAAGTTGGCAGCATTTTTTGGGATTCGGTTTCAATGCAGTTTATGGCCAGCAAAGTTTTGCGGCCAACTGTAAGTCCTGTGATGTATGAGGACGCAGTGAGAGATGCCCCACCCCAGCGCCTTACCATTTTTTGTTTTTTTTTTTGCCGCTCTGCCACATAGGCTGCAATATTGGATAAAAACTGCGAGTTGGGTAATATATTGCCTGTAGGTTGCATATGTGGACTGCTTTTAATGTGTTTTCGCTCTCCCTCTCTCTCTCTCTCTGCCTTTTTGCTTCAAAATGAACTTGGCTAAAAGTTTTTGGCTTAAGGTACGCTGCGAATTGCGTTTACTTGATTTTCCTGCGTCTAAACTTGAATTTCATGTGCAAAGGCTCAGCTCAGCTCGGCTCAGCTCAGAAAAAATAACTTTGAGTAGAATTTAATTTTGGTTTCTTGTTGCAGGAAAATAGACAACATTGCTGATGCAGAGTAGTTGGCAGGAGCATAAGCTAGTTATGACAACTATAAATTGGTCTTGTGATCATGTTTCTGAATTTCTAATGAAATCACAATTTTCGTTTCGTTTCGTTTCGTTTCGTTTTTGCCAGCCTGCGTCAGCAGAGCAATCATGAATCCAGTTCAACCTCTGTAAGCACCTTTTGTAATACAAAACCTTGGGCAAAACTTTTGCCAACTGCTTATGCATTGAGCTGTATAAAAATAAGGAGAAGCCGTGGAAGAAGAGGAAGACATCAAATTTGCATATATATATTCTAAGCTGGAGCTTAATTCCCAGTTGCGTCGTCGTCAAGTCAAAACAGCTTTAAGATATATAATTTCTGGAATCAGTTGAATTACTTGGCAAATAGTGAGAGCATTTACCCCATTCCATTGCAACATCCCATCCCAACACTCCCCACTCAGTACCATTTGGCAACTCTCTTGTGGTAGATTTTAAAATGCTTACACAACTTTTCACTCACATCGCCGTTGAGTTGAGCGAGTTTCAGAGAGTTTGCGGAGTTGAAGTGCAAACAAAACTTTCATGCCTTTAACCAAAAACAAAGATGAAATCGTCACGAACTCTGGGTGGGCCAGGGCAGGGCAGGGCTGGGCAGGGCAGGGCAATCGTGACTGTTCTTTAATCAGATGGCTAGCAGCGAGGTGCCTTTAAGCAAATTACACAAATATAGTCATAATAAAGCCTTTACAAAAGAGAGCCAGCCAGCCAGCCCTCTGCAAATGAATGGAATTGCTGAATACGAGAATGCCAAACCAGGCGTATGACAGACGCGACAGCCAGCCGAGGCATGGCATCGAATGGAATGTGGCAACGCAGTAGGCAGGCGCATTCATTTATTCGATTGCCAACTGAAACGAGAAAAAGCCTGAGATGCAGGGGGGCGATGGAGGAGAATTGCCAACTGAGTGGCAGACAAGAGCAACGACAGGCAGTTAAAGTAAGCTGGCAAAACACTTAAGTCAAAACTGAAACTGTGCCTCCGAATGGAAAACTCAATTCGAGATGACAATCTTACACGACAAAAAGAGAAAAAGCACGCCGAAAAAGTGTAAGGAAACGAAAATACGAATACGAATACGAAGGAATATACTTGAATGTAACAAAAGCCCAAAACATCAATGACAAACATTTTAACAATTGAACAAACTGACTGTGGGGCTAAAAAACATTATTTTCCTCACATTTTTGCCAGCCTCCGCCTCTCACACACGAGACGTGTGCGCGTACGAGTTGCAAATCAAGTTAGCGTGAAAGCAAAGGTGTGGGGGAACGCGGCAGGAAGCCGAAAAAACACACACACTAAAAAAAGAAAGACGCAAATGGCAAATGGCTGGCTTGTTTCGTTCCGCCTTTTGACTCGCCGCTCCTTGATTTCTTCCTTCCGCCAGGCAGCTGCCGCGTAACGGCGTGTAAGCCTTACCCTAACCCGAAACCGCCCCCTCCCAAATAAAAACAAGTAAGAAGACTCTAGTCGAGACTGCTCGACTAGGAGATACCCTGAACCCTCCATTCTGCCAGCGCTCTGCTAACTGCGCAGTAAGCAGCGACTGCGCTTGGGCTGCGCTGCAGTGTGGGCAATAGTATGAGAATTTTCTTGGTGAATAACTTCTTTTGTAAACACACGATCTT